TTTTTTTTTTTTTTTTTTTTCAATTTCAGACAACCCAGTGAACTAAGAAACCATAATGGAGTAAGTAAAGAAACGATAAAAAAGAAAGAAAAAAAAAAAAACATGAGTGTGTGTACCTGTGCCAGCAGCTTTCAATTATAGAAGCCCATTGAGGATCCACGTCTTTGGGGATTTCAAGTCGTTGGTTCATGAACCCAACAGCACCAATAACCTACATATTCTGAGAACTGTCAAAAAGATATGCAAAATTCCATAACATGAATAATGCATACCTGGTTATAGTTTATGAAAATAAATTAGCACCTGCATTGAATTGAGATTTTCCCAAGGGATCTTCTCGGTTGCAAGCTCCCATAATATCACTCCAAAACTATATATGTCCGACCTGCATATTCCAATCACAATCGAAGTATTTGCCTTTGAGTCTCATAATTCAGAATACAAAGAAGCGCTACCCACAATGGAAACAACATACTTCTCATCTGAGGGCTCATTGCGAAGAACTTCAGGTGCCATCCATTGAGGCTACAGCAACGAAAATGGTATGGGGAATTAATGTTTGCATCACAAACCAGAGATTCTAGAATCGAATGCCCAATGCAAGCAACTACCAAACAACAAAATGCCAGGATTACCGTGCCCTTTCCCGTCTTCGTAGTTAGATAAGTCTCGTGCTTAAGTCGAGATAAACCAAAATCTCCAACCTGCAGGAGTGATGAAAAAATTAGTATTATGTACATTGATTCAAACAAGTAGATTAGTAGGAAACAACAGCATACCTTCACAGTCCAATTTCTATCAATTAACAGGTTCGACGATTTCAAATCTCGGTGAATAATAGGCGGATTGCAATGATGAAGATAGTTCATGCCACGTGCCTATTAAAAGGACAATATATGTAAACGATGAAGATTCATAAGAATTGTTTGTCAATAATTAGATGAATTCATAAAGTTAGCAATATGGAAAGCTTAAAGAACATGGCGAGAAGACATTTTTCAATGCAGGATCACTGATTATGCTAGGAGAGGTTGAAAGCAAAATGTCTGGAGATACTCACAATGTCCAAAGCCATATGAACACGGCGTCTCCAATCTAATTTGCCTGCGTTCCTCTGTAGTAAACGAAACAAACTTCCACTGTTTTTTATCGGTACCAGACATTTGAATCAGCCTATGGAGAATGCTTTGGAAACATAAATCAAAAATGTTAAACCAAGAATGGTAGTGGAGAACGAACCGTGGGAGGAATTCCGTGACTATGCAAAGACGATGAGGTGAAGTCACAACTCCCATAAAGAGAAGAATGTTGGGGTGTCGGAGTTTTTTCATCAGGGATACCTTCATAAAGTCGAAGTCAGCTCTAAGAGTAGACAGAGAAGTTAGTTAGCTCTAAAGAGAGAAGCTTGCATACCTCCTGTCTGAAGGAGAGAATCACATCATCTGAGTACTCTTGTTTGGAGAACACTTTAACGGCAACGTCCTGCAATTGATATTACAAAAGTTCCGAATGAATCTGATAATCCCAGATGACACAACACCACAATTGAAGCAATTGAAAGGATAAGCGAACATACTGATCCATACCACAGCGCATGATAGACAGTTCCACAAGAACCTGCAGAGATGAAGGCAAGTCATGCATTAAAATCTGAATTTCGGACGAATAGTTTTACGACTTCCTGAATTGTGTCCCAAAGGTGGTAAAGCTGAAACAAAAATGGTGTATGCATACACAACCCAATCACTCCAAAGACCATCACATACCTTGCCCTATTTGCTCCCCAATAGTAAGGTCTTCCCACAAGATTTCAAAATCCAAGCAGTCTGTTTCCGAGTCGACCTTGTTGACAGCACTACTACTGGTACTTCCACAGCTACTGGCACTGCTTGTGCTGTTAACATTGAACGATGACCAGGATCCCGAGGCCTCGTTATTGGCTGCTCGATGACCGTCGTTTTGCTGCATTTCTGGTCTCCCAGATGAAGAGCAACTCTTATGATTTGCTGGTTCAGCTTCTTGATCATTTTGTAACCAAGGCCACACAAAACGGGCTGCCCTTGCTTCAGATCCTCCTTCCTGCTCGGTCCCTTTCCACGGCCACGATAAGCCCTTCTTAGCAATCCACTCTTCTGCTTTTGAGGATAACATCTTCTGAATGGTAGGCTTTCCTTTAACCTCATCATCATGATTCCTGACCTGTTTGCCACATAATTGCTCTTCAACCTGGGAAAACTCACCATGCGTCGTGGAATCTCCACGAGGTGTGCTAGCTCCACTTGAATTTGCGTCCTCCCGATGGTCACGAAGAGTTGCATCTGGAAAGCCATGATCAGAGTGATAACCATCTCCGCTTCCACCTTCACGATCCAAGCTGTTTTCTCCAGTTCGAATTTTGGACTTGACTTTGTTGCTTACCTTTGATGCCTGTCTCAGAGTTGCAAACTATCAAGATGCGCACACAACAACAAATCACAGAAAAATGGAACCAAAAGACTAACCAAGTTTGATAACTTTGAAGCAATTGCTACTTGCAGAGGCTGCTGAGGATCAAGACCAAGTTTAGTTGAAACCGTGCTTCTTGATCGGACAATGCTTGAATCTGCATCCTGCTGTTTAGAACCTGCTGCTAAAGGAATCTTCAACTCTTGAAATGGCCGTGAGTCGCTCGATATACAGATGATCCCGACCAAGACACCATCATCGTAGAAGGGAGTGTCGGTGGCAACAACTATAAACTTCTGCCCCATCTTGTTCTTCACAGGGAAGTGACCAGTCCAATGCTTGCCCGCCATAACACGATGAATTACATCATTTGCAAAGGCAAAGTCCTCAGAGTCTACTAGAAGCGCAATGCCATCCTGGCCGAGAGCCTCCGCCGCAGAATATCCATACACGAGTTCAGCAGCTCGGTTCCTACATAGATTAATATTCTGAAAAATCACTTCCCAAAGAAAATTACAAAGCGCGTTCTGAAAAAGCAAGAAAACGAAGCAATATCCAGGAAGCTATCGAATGAATCATCAATCTAATCTAAAAACGGAAAGAATTGTCACGAGAAGATAGTCAACGGAAAGGGGCAGCGCACCAGTAAATTATGCGATAATTTAGGTCTAAAATATGGACAGACTGTCCCATTGACTGCAAGATATTGAGATACTGTTTGTTGGTGAAATTAACGGCGGCGGGGCCAGAGCCGCCGCTGGTTCCGACTCCGGCGGCGGCATTCGAGGGTTCACAAGTCCTACTCTCCCTCTTAAGTGGAGAAGAATGCCGAAACGAGGAAGAGCCTTTCTTCCACGCCGCCGCGGCGCTGTCTGAACCTCCAGCAGCGCCACCTCTCCTCTGAGCCGCAGCAAATCTAGAGCGCTGAGGCGATATCGATTGAGAACGCTGATGGTGATGATGATGATACTGGATTTGGTGGTCCGAGTTCGAGTCAGCGGAAGTTCCAGAGAGAAGAAATTTGGACATTTCCTTCTTGAGATGGGCTTGACCCTCCTCCAGCTCTTGGATCTTCCTCAGAAGCTCCTCTGCTGGTGGAGTTCCCATAAAAACCAACAACAACGGATCAATACAACAACAACACTCCCACCGCGTATTCTTGGAGATCAAAACAAAAACAACAGCAACAAAAAACAATGTTCAAAGAAGCAAATCACAGAAACTAGAACAAATAATGCTCCCTATTGCAGTTGCAAAGCCCTGCACCAGATTCAAACTACTCCTTCCCCTTCAATCTACCTTTGATCTTTCAATCTCTTCCTTGTTCAAAAATGAGCATGAACAAGCACAAGCCGAGATTGATAGCACAAAGAATACAAGAAAAAGGAAAACGAAAATCAACCAATTCCGTTGAACCCAGGGATTAAGGAGCTTTAAGAACAAAAACTAGATAGCCAATCCAATCTAATACAATCCAATCCAATCCAATCCAATCCCCCATGTTCTTACTGGTGGCCGAGTCAATCGCTGAGACTGAATTGATAGAATGAAGGGTTTCCTCCTGATGGGTCAAGAACCTTCTGTCCCTTTTACTTTAGCCTTCCTCCAGAGCTCCGCCTCCTTTTTTAAAAATAAAAATAATCCCAACTGAAGAAAAATGGAAATGGAGCTTATTTTTCTTTTATATATATATATTTGGAAAATTCACTTTAGTCATTCTACTCTAAAAAAGAAAGAAAGAAAGAAAAAAAAAAAAACAACAACAATAATTTCCTTTCAATAAAATATATAATAGCGAGTGGCCGGTCGTGGCGAATCACACACCTCCAATTTTTCACTTTTTATTTTTATTATTACGGCCCCGAATTTCTCTCTCTGGTCGGAATTTCCAAAAAGTACCCTATTTTTCTCTCTCTTTGTTTTTTTTTTTCAATTAAACAAATTAAAAAAACTATTTCCACGTGGTCTCCTTCTATTTTAGTTCCTCCCAATTTGAATGTCAAAATTTAGTAGGTGTATTTTCGAGTTCCAATCCAATTTAAATTTGATTTTTATTAATTTGAAATAATTTTTTAGTGAGATTTACTAGAAAGCTTCCGGTCATACAGTCAAATGTTCTGGCTAGCAAGAATGTCAGTAGGGGAATAGCCATTTAATTAGAGAGTGACCTACCTGTTAAGATAATAAAGTCGATTGAGGGTTATTTAAGGAATCATACCAAACAGGAAGGAATTAGAAGGGTAGTAGATTAGCTCTCTATAAAAGCCGTCTCTCAATAATGAGTTTGACAATTGGGATGAAGTAAGAATCGAAGAGGTATCTGGTTGTGAATGATCAGGAATTCATGTCTTTTATTTTACCTATCTTCTATGGCTACTTAGATTCCTAATGAGGATTGATGCTGTAATTTTAATAACGGGGTGTTTTTTTTTTCAAAATTAAAAAATTAAAAGAAAAAATTGCTTAAATTGCTATTGGTTCATGTATTGTGTGCCCAATTAATGCCATTGATTTTTTTAATTATCAAGCTCAATAATTTAAGGTAGCTAACTTAATACGACAATAATTTGATAAGAAAGTCGTATATACATACACATTGAATAATAATAAAAAAGAGTTTGATGAAGTTGCTATTGGTCGATGCATTAACAAAAAAAAAAAAAAAAAAAGTTAATT